TAGAACATAGAAGCACGTTTAATTTAGCACAATTAAAAAGAAATACATATATACCTACATACAAAAGAAAAGTTAACGTATTTAAATTTAACAGAGACAGAAGGACAAAAAAAATTGATAAAACACAAGAATGTAAATAAAACACTGATAAGATTGTCTCTGGTAAATGCCAAAGTCATCTTAGTAATCTTATAAAATATTCCAGCAAGACTAATGCAGACAAGGTATAAATTAAGCAATGGAAAAATCCTTCAGAGCAGATATCTAAAGAAAAAAGTTTTAAATGTTTTTTCTGACAAAATATTTTTGGGGGAAATGGGGCCTAAATGATCACTTTTCACGTTTTATTTTTACAAAATATCGATTAAAAAAACTTCATTTATACAACTTAAGTAAGATTATTCCCACATATCATACAAATGAATAAATATTAACCAAGTATTTTTTTCTGATCACAAAGTCAACTTGATCAGTAAAGTGTGCTTTTAGGCTACATGTACTTTGAATGTTGTCAAGGAAAACCCTCTCTTTCACATATGAATGCATTCTCGTGCTCACACGGTCTATCGTTAAACTGCCCATTATAAAACATGTCTACACAATCTTTCCCATCTTTTCCATCGGGATTTCCAGGTGACCAGTTTAACATTCCAGTTCGAGTGTTCGAATGTTCCCAGACAAAGGTGCCTTCCTCCTCCCTATCATTTGCTCCGGTCCACGTGGCACAGGAATACTCATTACTGCAGACTTTTAAAGTAATTAAAAAAACGCCTGTTTTAAATTAAAGTTAAAGAAACTTATATACAACAAAAAACCTAATTTCTTTTAGACAAAAAATATGTTCTAATAAGAGGCCCGTGGGCCACATCGCTCACCTGAGCACTGTGGCTAGGAAAAAAAAATCATAAATCAATCCAGTATTGAAAAGCTTTAACGCATTAATGGTCCCAGCCTACCCCTAAAAAAGGGGGAGTATAATTTGAATTAACTTGAAATTACACTAATGAAGAATTCTTACATATTTCTTAGTCTCACTGTGGTTGTTTTCCATATAAGTTTGAAAATTTCATTTTGGCCTCACCCTACCTCCAGGGGTCATGATTTGAACAAACTTGAAATTACAGTACCTGAGGATGTTTCATAACAAATATAAACAATTGTAGTTTTGTTGTTCTTAAGGATATACGATCCTCAGCCAGGAAGGATAACTCTTTAATTTATAATTTAACTCAAAAAGTCTTAAAATAAAGCTTGAAATTGAAATTTTTTCATGCAACAATTTTCATTTTATGCCTATACGTATGATTCAATGTTCTTTAAAGTTTTAACAAACGGTATTAAAAAAGTTGACATTTGTACCTCATAAAATTAAATAAAACTTGCACATTTTAAAAAATCAAATTTCTTTTAAGTTAGCCTTAGTTACCAATGTTTATAAGCATGATTTGAAATTATAAGTGATTTACGGTGTTTTCTTTGAAAGGAAACAGTTCATACACTATGCATTATGAAACTACGGAAGTAAGTAGGAGAAAGTAAAATACCAAATAAGTGTAAAATTTATGCAATTTTCTTTAAAAGCCCGGATACCTATGATTTTTATTCCTAAAATGTTTTTCTTGATCAATTATCAATTAAATAATATGCAGTAGGTAGTTCAAATCGCAAATTTCTGAAAAATTGTTTGAGATTTACGAATTTTCCCTATATAATATGATTAAATTTAAAGATAAAGTTTAAAGAAACACCTTGGGTAAATACATTTTAATATGAGAATTTAGAGACATCTTTGTGAGCATTTTCAATTGCTCAATGCCTGATTTTCAGAACCTGAGGATCGGATAACCTTAAGAAGAAGATTTTTGAAGAATTTTCCTTTATATTCTTTTGTTTAATTTTGATCGTCCATTGTGATCCCACCCTACCCCTGGGGGTCATGATTTGTCTCTAACAACCAAGCTCTATGATAAATGTGATGACTTTAACTTTTGTATCGTCAACTTCCCTTACTAATGCAGCAATATACCTTCATCAGCTGCATACTGACTTTATAACCCTCAGTTGATTCGATATGATGGAGTATGAACAATTTCTAAAACGAGGTAAATTATTGATAAACATGAAACAAGTTGATGAAACAAGAATATCAGCAGCCTCATTTAAAGATCATTTCGCAAACTCTATGGTCGATACAATAACCTTGTCAGCAAATACAATTTACAATTGAGTCAAATACTGACTGATGTTTTTTCATGGTTATTGTTGGTCCATTATTTATACACTGAGTTGAGGACGTATTTCTCCGCTGTGTCCCAATCGTGGCAGGGGGCGCACAGCGGTGTGGCCGGTCGGTAGTGAATGCTCTCTACTCTGCTCACCTGATCCCACCTTAAATGTTTTTGGGTACCGTGTTTGCTCTTCTGCTATTTTTGTATTGTTTTTATGAACTTTGGTATTGAATACTGTTCGTTATCTCCATATCCTTAATTGTACAAAGTTAAATCTATAATACCTGAGGATGCTCCAATATAAATATAATCAATCATGGCTTTGTTGCTCTTGAGAAGAAAAAATTTGAAGATGGTTTCTATATATTCCCTTTGTTTAATTTTGATCGTCTATTGTTGCCCCATCCTACCTCAGGGGGTAATATTTGAACAAACTTGAATCTGCACTACCTGAGGATGCTTCCATATCAATATGACTAATCATGGCTTTGCTGTTCTTGAGAATAAGATTTTTAAAGATTTTCCCTATGTATTCCTATTTAAAACTATATAATCATCTGTGGCTCCACCCTACTCCTGGGGGTCATGATTTGAACAAACTTAAATCTACACTACCAAAGGATGTTTGCACATTAGTTTCCTCTTTCTAGACCAAGTGGTTCTTGAGAGGAAGATTTTTAAAATGACACAAAAATTTCACTATTTCTTAATTATCTCCCCTTGAAAAAAGGCGATGCCCTCCATTTGAGTTTACCTGAATCCTGTTTACCCAAGAAGGCTTTGTGGCAAGTTTGGTGGAAATTGGCCCAGTGGTTCTAAAGAAGAAGTCGAAAATGTTAAAAGACAGAAAGCTAAATGGACAGACGGACACTGGGCAAAATGTGATCATAAAAGCTCACTTGAGCTTTCAGCACAGGTGAGCTAAAAACTCTAACTTTGAAATGATTTGAAAAGAAATATGTAATATGTAAGTTATGAAATATTTTCAATAAACCTACACAAGCCCTTTAGTACATTCTCGGTGATCCATCTATTTTCCTCATCATCGTTAACTTCTACAAGGTAAGAATCACAGATCCTGCAGGACCTCTAAAAAAACAATAGATATTTTAAAATTTGTATGCAAATTTCATTGGGAAATGTTTTATTAGCAATAAAGCCATTTAAAATAGCTATCGTTTTTAAATTCAAAGGAATTCATATTTAGCTTTCCAAAACAAAATTTAACAATTGCTTTCCTTTGGGAAGTCTAAAATTAATTCAATGCTAAATCATGATATTACAATCCAATACTGGATAAAAGAAAATTAAGATATCAAAATTTTTCAGTTTAACGAAAATGGTGAAGATAATGATTAATCGAATATATATATATATATATATATATATATATATATATATATATATATATATATATATATATATATATATATATATATATATATATGTATATATTTATGAGAAGGGACCGAGGAGGAGTAATGAAATAATGGAGATAACGAACAGTATTCAAGCTCAAAATCTGTCAATACTATACAAATCGGGAGCAAAGGAACTACGGACCTCCAAAAGCATCAAATGCAGACCCAGGTGACATAAAGGAAGGATATCGGGCATCCCCGGTCGACCAATCACACCAAAGAAAAACCGAGAAAATCGTAGAAAGTTCCGTAAATAATGACCTAACACTTAGCATGAAAAAAAAACATAGGCGCTTGGGTCAAGGATACTGTATATTCTGATTTACACCAAATTTTCATATAAATATTTTTTTTTTACCTCACACCAAAAGTAGGTGTTGATATTCAATATTGATACAAGTTATTCTGTACGTTTTTATACTTGCACAATTCCCACTGCATTCATCTAGAATTTCAAGCAAAGAAAACAGTATGCTTACTGTGCTTTTATAGTTCCATTATACAGTAAAATAGTCCATCTCTTCTCCGCAACTCCTCTCATACCACTGAATGAAATTTGTTGAAACTTTCACAGAATCTTAAAGGCATATTGCCGATGTGCATCTTCTATGTTTCTTTTTGATCCGAAACATATTTTGGGTTTCCCACAACAAAAGCATGGACACTGCAATTATTTTCATATGGGAGGCTTAGGGTATCATTTAGTGAGCTCATTGCTCACAGTACCTCTAGTTGTTTTAGTGGAGACAGCGATTTATCTTTTCCCTTTAGGGTTTTGTAAATAATGTACACATGTGTTATCACTTTCAAACAACCTTCCATTTAAAATATAGTTTATTCATTATGAAATATGATTAAACAGTATGCATGTCCTCTTACTTTGCAGTTTCCTGAGATAAAGGCGCAGTAATTTGAACAAAAAGCTTACCATCGCCGCTTCCTGAGTTAAAGGTGTACCAATTCGTCGGTAGCAAGTCCCTTTGTCGTTGTTACAAATCCATCCTGTAACACACTCTGCGGAGAAAAGAATATTTTGATGTTTAAAAAACTTTCAAAACTGACAAATAAGCACATCGGAATATTTTCCAAGCAAACAGTTCTTAGCATTTTTTGTGGATTTACCTAAAGTTTCATGAAAATATTTTAATGCCTTTTCATAAATACAACGAGTTTTGAAACACTTTCTCAGAGGTCCATGCTTGCTCTGTTCATAATTTGTATAGTTTAAATGTACTTAAAGTACATACCGATATCTTACATACAGTGTATTAAGACTATATATAAATCAATAACGACAGAATATTCGCATAGAATACACGCATACATTTTATAGAATACTCTGCCGAAATAGTGCAAGGTTGTCTTTTCCAGAGAAAATGTGATGCCCCAACAGAGGGATGGAACGTGTCATCCCGAGAACGTCTGAGTTGAACGTGATAACCATGACGGAAGAAAACGTCATAACTTTAAAGAATTTATTTTCATGTTTATAAACGTAGTTTTTTATTGATGAAAAATTTCACGGGTACATGTAAACATGATAAATTTCATCTTTAGAAACGTTCAATTTAACATAATTTAAGGAGGCTAGGGGATAACAAATTATTTTCTAATAACCATAAGATATAACTTAAATCTTGGGATATGATATCTTCAGCTGTCTACTATCATTTGGCAATGAAAAATTTCATAAAATCTAGTTTTAAAATTTGATCATTTTGTTATATCTTTATATGGAGTTCTTTTTCTAAAGAAGATCTAGAGGTCCCGTGTCGCAGTAGGTGCTGGCACGAAAAAGATCCCTCCCTGCTCAGTGACTCTGAGTGCCGAACATATGACAAAATTTGCAGCTCTCCACCTCCAAGTGTTGGCGTATCCATATGGGAGAAAAATTCTCGAAAGGGACGATAAACAATATACAATAAATCAATCAATCTAAAGGAGATAAAATTAAAAAGTCTAAAAATGGCCTCAACCACCCAGCCCCTTTAACACAATTTTGCAAGTTTAACATTCAATTAAATACAAAATCTATCATAATCATATCTACAATATACTATTGAAACGTATTTATCATACCATTTCCACAAAACAATAAATACACTAGAGGTACTTTGAGCAACGAGCTAGCGCATTAAATGATACCCCCGCCTTCCATATGATTATAATGGCAAAGTCCCTGTTTAGCTCTTGGAGACCCGAAATAAGTGTCAGATCAAAAAGTAAAATATAAGGTGGACAATGGCATTATGTAATAGACAATCTTTGAAAGGATGATTAAATTTTATGGAGTGGTATAGGAGGAATTGTGGGTAAGAGATGGGTACCCTTTAATGTTATAGAAAAAAGGGCAGTGTTAATCTTTTGCTCTGGAAAACCCAAAATAAGTGTCAGGATAATAGGAGATGCACAATGACACTATATATAACAAAGATTTTGTTTAATCTTAATTCAGAGGTATGAGAGGAGTTGCGGATAAGAGATAGGTACCCTAAAGCCTAACAGATGGACGGACGGACGGACATTCCTATTACTATATACCCTCCCCATTTTCAAGCCGGGGATTATGTAATAAGTTGTATAAATTATTACCATGACACGTGATATTGACGTCACTCCAGGTTCCATTCCTCAGGCACTCCACGGTCTCGTCCCCAGACGGATTATATCCGTCTACACAGGATAAGCTGTGCTTGCTCCCCAGATTTAGAGCTTTTTCAGAACTAAAATTCTGAACATTTTGTGGAAGCTGTAAGTCTACTGGATGACAATCTTCATTAAAAAAAAAAACCCCACAAACTACCTTCATAAGTGTAATACAAACTTCACTTATAGTACTAGGTACAATATTTTTATATAAATAATGTTAATGGTAAATCAATAAAAATGGACTTTAATTTACCAACATATTTAAACTTTGTTAGTACATATTGTTGTAGATTGACATTAATGTGTTAAAAATAAACTTAATACATTTTTAGTACATAATAAAGCCGGATATCTTAATTAAACTAATCACAGAAAAATAAGTAAGAGGTTTGATTAAAAGCTTTGAATATATATTTTACAGTACGGAAGCCCGATGAGGCCAGTTTAAAGAAACAAATATTTTTATTGTGTTTAAATGCAAAAATATTGCGTTTAATAGCAAATTCTTTCGCGTTTAATAGCAATCTTTTGCGATTAAACGCAAAGTACTGAGTACTTTGTGTTCAAACGATGAAACGCAATAAAAAAAATTTTTCTCTGAACTGACATGAACGGGCTTCCGTATTACAAATATACGAAGGAAAAATTTTCTTTTCCCACATCTTTCACCTAATTGTTTCACCCAATAGCCCATAGGAAGCCACATTCTAGTGTGTGGTGGGGTTGTTTCCCTTTCTAAGGAAGAAATTCTTCAAAATCATATGTCAGTTTTAAATATTTTTAATATTCCATAGAAACCAAAATGAGTTTGAACTCCCCATTATATATTGGATTCCAAAATCCATACAAAGAAAGATACATTGCGGGTTCCAGTAAATATTCAACCAAGCCTCTTTCGTTACTCCTCACTAGGATATTGACAGTAGTGAAGGAAAAACTTCAAGAGTAGTTAGAGTACTGTGCAACGATATATTCAAGAAGTGCATGGTGTGAATCAGATGTGGATACTCAAAAATTCCAAAGAATTGTTGGATAATTTGAAATCACAAGATTTTACCAAAATCAACAGCTTAAAAACTTACGACTTTTCAACTTTATGCACAACCATTCCCCGCGATAAATTAAAGTCCAGGCTTTTTGATATCATTGACAGCTGCTTTTTCAATAAAAATGAAACTCGTAAATTTACTTACCTGGTCATTTGCAAAATTATTTTGTTGAAACACATTCTGATTGCACACACAAGTACTCTGAAGTTGACATCAAAGAGATGCTTGAGTTTCTGATTGACAACATCTATGTTGTTTTGGGAGACCAGGTATTCCAACAATCAATTGGAATTCCCATGGGTACCAATTGTGCTCCGTTATTAGCACACCATTTTTTTATATTCATATGAAGCAGAATTTGTGCAAAATCTTATGCGTGAAAAGAAGAAAACACTTGCTGTGGCCTTCAACTCAACATTTAGATATATCGACGACGTATTCTTAATTAACATGAGAATGGTAATTTCCATTCCTACGTCGATACGATATATCCTGGTGAGCTTGAGATAAAAGATACCATAGAGTCTGACACATCTGTTTCATACTTGGATATTTTACTTGAAAAAGACATAAATGGTAATGTAACAACCAAGCTATATGATAAACGTGATGAATTTTCTATCGTCAACTTCCCTTACTTATGCAGCAATATACCTTCATCACCTGCATACGGAGTATACATATATCTCAGTTGATTCGATACGCAAGAGCATGCTCTACGTATGAACAATTACTAAAACGAGGTAAATTGTTGACAAGCAAGTTGATGAAACAAGAATATCAGCAGTCTCGTTTAAAGTCATCATTTCGTAAGTTCTATGGTCGATACAATGACCTTGTCAGCAAATACAATTTATCATTGAGTCAAATACTGACTGACATTTTTCATACTAATTGTTAGTCCATTATTTATACACTGAATTGACGACGGATTTTTCCGTTATTTTCCGATCATGACAAGGAGCACACGGCGGGTGTGATCGGTCAGCAGGGGATGCTCACTCCCCCATGGCACGTGATCTCACCTTTGATGTTTCGGTGGTCCGTGTTTGCTCTGCTCCTATTTTGTATTGTTTGTGGACTTTGAGATTGAATACTGTTCGTTATCTACATATCCTTCTTCTTAATTACAAACATTTTCAGTTCAGTGGAGGAGGGGAATCCAGGCCAAAATTCCATCTCATTGTAACAAGCTTAAAATAGTTTTTAAAAATATAGTTTTGTGTAGAATAGAAGAAAAGGCCAAACGCTGTTTGAAATTTAATTCTTTTTTTTTTTCTTTAAAGTTAAACTAAGTTCAATTGACGCTTTATGATGCCAGTTGTAATCGTGTTTTTTAATCATTTGAAACTCTTTTTTATTTGCCCCCCTCCCCCCTTATCTACATCTCATTCTCAATCTTGTAAAAGAAAATTAAAACAAAAATTAAAAGCATGACTTAATTATATCATCCAACACATAAAGTATTAAATTTATCATAAAACACCCAGATTTTCACAACTACTTACGTGCTAGCTTGCATTCAGTGGAGACGTAAGAATTTTTGATACACTTTTGGTTAAAAGCGCATCTTATGTTCTTACATGCCTCTGATATTTCCTAAAATATAAATAAGGGGAAAAAAAGAAAAATAAAGAAATTCTTCGGAAAGAAATTTATTTAATCACTAAGTCTTTACTTCTCTTCTGGTAATCTATACACATTAGAATATTAAATCAATTTAAAAAAAAAAAAACAAATTTAACATATTACCATAGGCCAAGATTCTCGACGGCTAAAGATCCACCCTTCTTCATCTGACAACTTTGCATTGGAGCCTTCGCCGCTCTCGTAGTTCAGTTCACAGAATTTCTCGGCCCGCCTGTAGTTAAATGACAGACATTCGGAGCGGATCAAACATTCCTCGGCGCAGTCCAGGGGACTGATCTGGGCTATAATGGTCAGTAGCCTGCCCAGAAGCCTCTTACCCCATTGTAAATTATCATAGCCAGTTTTCAAGGACCCGTCTGTTAAAACAAGGCTAAAGAAAATCGCATTTAGGAAGAACCTACTATGCAACATCCTTGCATCTTTAAAATGTCAAGAGTTTTACTATTTTTTATTTACGCGTTAAGTTTGATACTAAAGATTTTACGCAAATGAGCAGGTTAGAGGCATATTGATCTATCTCTTTTTATTCATAAATATTTTATTGCTATCTCTTTGATTCTAGATAATCCTTATGTTGTCTACAAAATATTGCCACATTAAGAATTCTACATTTTTTATTAAAGAGATTTCTGTTTGAGGAATCCATTGAGTGGGAATATTACTTAAGAAATATAAAAGATATACATGCATGTACTGAATTTGTGAAGTTGACTTTGGCAATTAATTATTAAATAGTCTACATACAGGCTAACCTTTTATCTTTTCAACTGTAAGGGTAGGTATTTCGATATTAAGGGAAAACAATTCTTGTCATGCATGGCATTTTATAATAGAAAAGTAATCAAATATTTCATTTTCACGGAGAAAATGTTTGAAAAACTCATAATGACAAAGAAAAGAAAGCCTCATCTCATGTAAAATGTATGACACAATATATTCAGAACAAAGGATCGCTACCAAAAAGGGTAGCACGTATTCTTCTTAATTTATGAATAAAACATTTATCTGTGATTGACACAGCATTTGTTCATGTTTTATTCATGCAAGCAATATCACAGCATGATCTGCTTCAGTCTGGCAGAAATTTGATATTTTATTGATAAAACCCTTTTGTTTTGGAAATTCTGTTTTGTTTAGTGTAAGTTTATAGAGTTGAATAATGGGTTTATGTATTTTCATTCCGTTTCTTATGATTAATGTATTCGTACATAACTCAGTGAGTAATAAAATAGGTGGAAACAAAGAACAGAATCGATCAGTCAATCAATTATTGATGACTTGTAATAGAATTTTCCTTTTAGGAAATTTATTTTTTTTATAAAGAATGTTCTTCTATCTTTTCGTTTAAATGCGATCAGAACAAGGAGCAAGTTGAATGAAATATGAAAAAAAAAAAAAAAGCAAACAGTGATTTAACTCAAAGTCTATTCAACAATTTAAATTCAGAGCAAACACAGTCCTCTAAAAACATCAGAGGCGGGATCCGGTGCCAGGGAGAAGAAAGTGTCTCCTTCTGACCAGTCACACCTACCATGTGTTTCTCATGATCGGCCAAATAGATAGCCATATTTCATCAACTTCTTTGTCAATAACTTGACTTGTGTAAGAAATAGTTTGCCTTCGAATCGAGTTTCGATTTTCTGTGTAAGTAAAGCAATAGTGGGTCAATTAAGTGAAATAACTTCATGTTGTAAATTGATTGTTTGATCTGAAATAAAAGTTCCATATTGGGTAGCACAGAATAAGCACAACTGAAGCTACTGTTTAAAATAAGCCTACATGTATATGTAAAAGAATGCGCAAGTTAAGAAAATTTTGTTTATAGACGGCAAGTACATCCAATATAACATAATTTTAACATTGAGACAGGAGTGGGTGTTCTTTTCTCTGAAGTTAACTGTTCTCCGTCAGTAAAAGTGTCCATGACTACTGGTTAAAGATATCTTCTGCGCTGTATTAGCAGCTTATACATGTATACAGATATATGGAATAAAATGTACCAAAAGCACCAAAAATCAACTGGTATACTTTTCCCCCTTTCTTGTAATATCTGAGTTAAAATTCTTTGTGAATTTAATCAATTAAATTTTCACTGTATTCTACGGAAGCCCGTTGGTGCCATTACGAAAAATATTTTATCTGGCAGCCGCCACATAATTTATATGGCAGCCGCCACATAAATTATTTTGCAAAAGGTGAGTGTTATTTGGTTAAGAAGATGATGGCTGTTGACACAGCCGTTGCTTATTGATAAAAAAGTTAATGATAAAAAACGAATTCTGAAATATTGGAACACCATTGTTAGAAATCCAAAATGCAAAACTTTATTTAATTCTCAATCAATCATAGCTTACAGCAAACACAAGAATACAGGTGACGAGATAACCCGGTCTCACCTAAAACTAACACCATGATTTATGTCCGGGACCCTGATGAGGCTTCTTAATAACCGAAACACTCTACAAATACTTGCATAATTCAAATCAAATATTAATCTGTTCTATATACAAAAACATACCTACTATTAGAGTGGATTGGAGTGTTGTTCATAATAAATCTCTTACAAGTTCGGTTGATTGGTGTCGCTATTATAATCTTTACACTGTATCCACCTCTGAAATCACACGTTAAAACATATGCATGCGCGCGCATCAGGAAGCAAGGTGTTATCTGGCGGACGCTATATAAATTATGTGGCGGCCGCCAAATGGTATTATGTAGCGGCCGCCAGATATATAAGTGGCGGTCGCCAAATAATAAGTGGCGGCCGCCGGATAAATATTTGGCGGCCGCCAGTTAAATATATGGCGGCCGCCAAATAAATATGTGGCGGCCGCCAGATGTTATATAGCGGCCGCCAGATGAATTACACAGGATGAAAATCCACCATTCAGTCGACTGAATGGTACATGACACTGAATGCCCACTGAATGGTCACTGAAAGGTCACTGAAAAGACCCTTTCCCGTGACCTTTCCGTGATCATTCAGTTACCATTCAGTCGACTGAATGGCACATACATTTCAGTGACCTTTCAGTTATCATTCAGTTGCATCTTTTTATTAAATATTCGGCTTATTTTTTAACTTAAAAATTTTATTTCACTTTTTCCTGGTACAATAGTATTAAATTTATCTAATTTCGAATAAAAAATTAAGGAAAGAAATTAATTCAAGAAAAAAAAAAAAATTTGCATATGGTCAGAATCGAACCCGGGTCTCCTGGGCGAGTGTCCGTGACCTTGAAAAATATGGATTTAAAAGCAATCAATTTGTAGAAATCGATGGAACAATCATTTCACCTGTGGTATCGAGGAGCTGCGATGTGTATATATCTTGTATATCTTTTGTATATTCTGTGTTAGTTGCCCGGATTTTGGGGACAGACTGATTAATTACACATCTCCTATTGGGATGATGACAATTATCAGCGACGGGCACCTGTTCCAGTGTCAGAGATATGAGATCTGTAAATTCTCTATCTAGAAACTAAGTAGAATAATTTTATTTAACAATATCATTTAGAAAGCTTAAATCTACAATATTTAGTTTTTTCTATAAGAGGCATGTATGAATGATTTATTCTATTCATGTTAAATGATTTTAAAATGATGTCTTTCAAAGGCTAGAATACCCTGCGGTTTTGAAAATTAATTAAAAAGCGAATTTGATCAGTAATATTAGCGATCTTCCAGAAAAGGTGTAAGTAGAATCATTTCACACAGAGTTTGGACTTTCAGTAAGGTGTGGCATTCTCGACGTTACATAATTAGCTTCTGAAATTTACACAGCTTTCCTTCACTGTTGAAATATACATGGGATAGAAATTCGGGCAAATGCCAATTAGTGTATCGAATAACCAATTACATTGTCTCATCCTGCACAGAGGTGGAGCTTAAGTAGTCACATCATTGTCAACAACAATTTAAAGTTCCAGATGTTATTAATTTCTTCACCAATGAGAACCTATTCGCCATTTGTCAGGCGGTAAACATGTAGCGTCGAGAATGCCAGGCCTTACTGAAAGTCCAAACTGTGTGTGAAATGGTCCTAATATGAATTCTGTTTCATCAATCAAAACTAGATATTTCTATGAAAAATACACGTATAAGCAGTATAGAATGTTATGCAGCATTCATTTAAATTTTGATTCGAATATCGGATCATCATTTTTTATCACTTGAAGAATATTTGTTTTCTTAATCTAATTAGAAAATTGAAAATCATTTTGAATAAGTATCATTTATTTTACAAAATTATAATAATTATTTAGACATATTTTAAGCCGAATTTAATCACGATAAGTAAAAAACACAATTAAGATTGAATATTGTAAATAAATAAATCTTTTTTTCAAAATATTGCTTCACTGTTAAGGAAAAATATCTTATTATAAATTAATAAGCTAGTGAAAAAAATCGCTAAACTGAGACTAAAAAATCACTGAAAGACGACAGAAATTAAAGGTCATTGAAAGTCGACAGAAAGGTCAGTGAAAGACGAAAGAAAGGTCACTGAAAGTCGACGGAAAAGTCACTGAAAGACGAAGGAAAGGTCACTGAAAGTTGACGGAAAGGTCACTGAAAGTTGACGGAAATGTGTCCGCTGAATGGTGACTGAAAGGTATCTGAAATGTGACTGAAAGGCAACTGAAAGGTCACTGAAATGTATGTGCCATTCAGTGGCTGAATGTCTATGAAAAGTCAGTTTTAACTGAAAGGTCTTGTTTCTTCCTGTGTTATGTGGTGGCCGCCAAATAATAAGTGGCGACCGCCACATAATTATCTGGCGGCCGCCAAATAATAAGTGGCGGCCGCCAGATAAAATATTTTTCGTACGTGGCACCAACAGGCTTCCGTAAAAGCCTACTTCAATCCAAACGAAAAGAAAACTGACGCTATTCAAGGAAAACGGAATTCATATTCTGAATAAATTCCTTAAAAAGCTTTTATTTTTCGTGCATAGCTCATTTTAGGTCTTCTTCAGAATGATTAAATCAGTGCGTGTTAAAGAGTGACCGTGGTGTACATTCACCCACCCCCCTCTCAAAAAAAAAAAAAAAAAAAAAAAAAAAAAAAAAAAACGCAGACACACACTTTCCGATGAATTTTTCAAATTCGCTAAAAGTGTTCCTATCCAGTATTAGTTTTAAGTGTTACGTACTTTTATCCAGACACCTACAATCATCATGACTATATGGCCAAACAAACAGGCCACATTTTATATTGTCTTTAATGAAACAGCATATAGACTTGTAACTGTTTTAAGCTGCTAAGATGCGTATCGATTAGGTGATTTTAAAAATATATTGCCCCCCCCCCCCCCCCCCCCGAAAAAAAAATCTGTAACAAAATCGACAATGACTGAAGTATGCTGTGTATGACACGCTCCCCCCATTTCAAACACCATAGGCGTCGGTACCGGGCCGCTAGGGGGGCTTAGCCCCTTCCCACTGTTTTTGAAAAGATAGATACTCCTATTATATAGGCATTGAAAATTGGGGTTTACTTTTTTTGTTGCTTTAGCCCCACTCCACCCACTTTCAGTTTGCTTCCGACGCCTTTGCACACACACCTTCTCACACAAACTTACACGAACCCATCCTCTATCATTTATATCACTGTTCTGAAAATAGACATTGCAAGTGTCTTTAGTTATTAAAATTATGAATTAAATGATTTTAAGAAATTGTTTGTTTTGCCCAGTGTTTTTTCACATCGGGTTCGAAGTTCTGTGAATTCTTTTGTTGACAGGCAGGTTAAGGTTTGTTCGGAAATTGATTTGTTTTAAAATGAATTTATTTACTTCATTTATCGTTTTATATATAATGTTGATGCGTTTTCAAATAGATTAAGTTCTACTGAATGATATAAGCTCACAATTTATGTAGATTTTTGTTGGATTTTTTTGGAAAACGAATTACTGAGTAAACAATGCCAAAGGTTAACGATTACATATTTTTACGAACAAAAGAAGGGGCCTAAAAGAAGCAATGCTTGTTCATTTTTTGAAGAATGAAAACGTGTCATCTTAAAAGTCATAATGACTTAAAGTAATATTCAATGTCCGTACTAGAAAATTGCTTTTTAACGATTTTTTAATGACTTAATCAATAGATCAAGTTCATACAGAGTTATCGTTCTTTCAATTGATAAATGAGGCATTTCATAACTGCACTCAGATACTAAATGCACCAACACAACATAATCATATCTTAGGGTGGATAATAAACACTGTTTAGTACAAATTTTTTGTCATTACAGATTATAATTATCCAGATACAAAGATTTTTTTTATTTGATTCTAAATAAGCAATTTTTGAAACCTTTGTCTTAGTACATTTATAACTTGTTGGATTACTTGATCAATGAACAAATACAGATGACATTTTTTTGGCGCCTGAGAATATCAGACATAGATATACTTTATTTCAAAGTTGTGGAATAGTTTAACATAGTATTAAAGCTGCAGAGACATTTATAAAAGAGAAATCAACGATAAATATTCCAGTGTCCTTGTCACAAAGATTAACAGCATGCTTATAAGCTAGTCATTATTACAGCATAAATCTCGAACAAAAGCAAATTATTCTTAATTCAGTTTCCTCTAATTTTGACTGTGTTCACAAGGAAGAGGATGAGGAAAGCTTTTGATTGACTGACCCAAACTGGTGGGAAAAGATTACTTTAAATTCAAATTTCATCACACTTTACCTAAACCTTCCTCTCAGAGTTCTTGTTTCTCATTCAGACACCTCTGAAGTGAACTTGCACCAAGATATGATATTCCAAGTACTATTAACATTAATTAAATATTTCTAGATCTACTTAGAAAACATCTACCCTAAAACTGTTAAAAGAAAAGTAATTGTGCATACACTTAACATGCTTAATAACATGTTTAATTATAGTAAATTAATACAAATGCACACATTTAACCTTTACTAATTTATATACTAAAGTAAATCACACACATAATTAAGGTCTTCCGTTTCAGACGGAAGACCTTATAGTGATTCTACTGTTTTTTCTTATTATTATTATTATTATTTTTTTTTTTTTCCCCAAATCTTGTCGGCAAGATTTCTCAGAGATGGCTGGACAGATTTTCATGAAATTTTCAGGGATGATAGAAAACTAAAATACGCTCAGGCGTTTTTTTTCCTTTTTTCAAAATTCACTTCCGGTCGTCAGATTTGTCCGATTTCCGCTTTTTTCAAAATAATTTTGTCTAAGTCATATCTCAGAAACGGTAAGAGATTGAGACACCAAACTTATATGAGTAATAGATCTTGATAAGTAGGCATGTCCATTTGGGTTAAGATTGTCCGCCGTCACTTCCGGTCGTCACAGGAAGTGATCTAAGAAATCGAAAATTTCAACTTTTCTTTTATGAAACTTTTTTAGCATCACATTATAGCATCTTATTTGTAGTTTCGAAATATATCAGTCCAACCGGAAACAAAAACGACAACTTCCGGTTATAAGAGAAAAACTGCATAATTCGAGTATTTTTCTTTGAAATTCCCATAAATATTTTTTATAGATAAAGTATTTGTAATGATTTTTGGGTATGTTATCTAAACTGCAAATATCTACAGTAACGTCAAATATCTTTGTAAAATTCACTTCCGGTCGCGTGATTTCCTGTCCTCAAAATGAGAAGTTATCATAGCTAGATCTCGGAAACGGTAAGAGATGAAGACACTAAACTTATGGGAATGGTAGATCTTAATGAGTAGATAAATTCATTTGGGATACAATCGTCCGCCGTCACTTCCGGTCGTCACAGGAAGTGATCAAAGAAATCGAAAATTTCAATTTTTCTTTACGGAACCCTTTTTGGCGTAACATTATTGCATCTTATTTGTTGTTTTGAAGTATGTCAGTCCCACTGGAAGCAAAAACGACAACTTCCGGTTATAAGAGAAAAACTACATAATATGAGTATTTTTCTTTCCAATAAATATTTTTATAGATAAAGTATTTGTAATGATTTTAGGGTATGTCTTGTTATCTAGACTGCAAATATCTACAGTAACGTCAAATTCTTTTTAAAATTCACTTCCGGTCGTGTGATTTCCTGTCCTCAAAATGAGAAGTTATCATAGCTAGATCTCGTAAACGGTAAGAGATTAAGACATCAAACTTTTACAAATGGTAGATCTTGATGAGTTGACAAAACCAGTGGGAATAAGATTGTCCGCCGTCACTTCCGGTCGTCACAGGAAGTGATCAAAGAAATCGAAAACTTCAACTTTTCTTTATGGAAACTTTTTTGCATCACATTATAGCATCTTATTTGTAGTTTTGAAACATGTCTTTACCACCAGGAATAAAAACGGCAACTTCCGATTATAAGAGAAAAATACCTATTATGAGTATTTTTCTTTCCCATAAATATCTTTTGTAGATAAATTATTATAGGAGTGATAGATCTTGATGAGTAGGCAAATTCATTTGGGTAAACATTGTCAGCAGTCGCTTCCGGTCGTCACAGAAGGTGAACAAATAAATAAAAAAATTCATTTTTTTATGGAATCTTTCTTAGTAATACATTATAGCATCTTATTTGTATTATGAAATATGCCAGTACCATTGGAAACAAAAACGACTACTTCCGGTTATGAGAGAAAAACAATATAAATTTAATTATGTACTATACCATTAATATTTTTTTTTTTATAAAAAGAGCAGTTGAAATGATTTTAAGGCATGTTATTCAGACTGAAATGTCTATAGTAACCTCAAAAATCTCTTCAAAAATTTACCACCGGTCACGTGATTTCTTGTCCTCAAAGTGAGAAGATAACATTACGAGATCTCTTAAACTGTAACAGATCAAAACACCAAACTTTTATATGAATAATACACCAAGAAGATTGGGCAACAGATATAGGATAAAGTGCGTTCTCCGTCACTTCCGGTCGTCACAGAAAGTGATAAAAAATTGAAAATGATTTTTGTAAATGTTATTAGGACTATAATTGTCTAACGTAACGTTGAGAATCAAATCTTGGTAAGTTACACCTACGGCCGTTTGTTTTCCTGAATCATTTAAAATATTATATGCCTTTTTAAAATAGATAAAAGTTCATTCATGCAGATAAAGAGAGGAGAACGGAAGACCTTCTTTGTTGCTTTAGCAACAAGAGATTCTAGTTATATCCCTTATCTCTTTTGAACAACATAGTTATGCACATTTCTATTTCACATATTATTAATTTACACATTATTGATTCAAATTCTTTTCAATTATTTCAGATCCCCTGCTGACAGTGGTTGTGGAGGCCTGTTGTTTTATACTTTCCCGCAGACAAACACAGATTACCGGTGTAAGTGAGGTAATTATAATCGGATCAGGCCTCGGCACCAAAAACTGTGAACAGACCTAAGTCAAAACATTGATTTTGATTTGCTTGTCATTTACAATACTTAATAGGTTTTAATAAAAAATGTGCAGGTTTGCAATGTATAATATTTAAATTAAAAATTGGTAAAATTTTGTGTTCGTCATCAAAATTATTTTAAAAGTTACATTGATTTGAAATTTTCACTGAAGCATGATAAGTCTGTTCTCAGTTTAGGGTCTTAGGAATCTGTGGCCCGTTTTACAAAAGGACTTACGACTTAAGACCAAACTTAATTCTTGGTATAACTTTTTAATTAACATTATATCGAAAACTATTTTGAACTTTTTAAAAGGAATGTGGTATGATATTATTAGCTCACCTGAGCCGAAGGCTCAAGTGAGCTTTTCTGATCAAAATTTGTCCGTTGTCTGTCGGCGTTGTCGTTGTCGTCGTTGTCGTTGTTGTCGTCGTAAACTTTTCACATTTTCATCTTCTTCTCAAGAACCACTGGGCCAATTTCAACCAAACTTGGTACAAAGTATCCTTGGGTGAAGGGGATTCAAGTTTGTTCAAATGAAGGGCCACGCTCTCCTCGAAGGGGAGATAATTATGAATTAGTGAAAAAATTAATGGCATTTTTAAAAATCTTCTTCTCAAGAACCACTCGGCCAAGAAAGATGAAACTCATGTGGAAGCATCCTTAGGTAGTGTAGATTCAAGTTTGTTCAAATCATGACCCCCGGGGCAAGGGTGGGGCCAAAATGGCCGACCCTAGTTTTACATAGGAATATATTGGAAAATCTTTAAAAATCTTCTTCTCCAGAACCACTGGGCCAGGAAAGATGAAACTCATGTGGAATCATCCTCAGGTAGTGTAGATTCAATTTTGTTCAAATCTTGACCCCCGGGGCTAGGGTGGGGCCAAAATGGCCAACCCAAGTTTTACATAGGAATATATAGGAAAAATCTTTAAAAATCTTCTTCTCAAGAACCACTGGGCCAGGAAAGATGAAACTCATGTGGAATCATCCTCAGGTAGTGTAGATTCACGTTTATTCAAATCATGACCCCCGGGGCAAGGGTGGGGCCAAAATGGCCGACCCAAGTTTTACATAGGAATATATAGGAAAAATCTTTAAAAATCTTCTTCTCCAGAACCACTGGGCCAAGAAAGATGAAACTCATGTGGAATCATCCTCAGGTAGTGTAGATTCAAGTTTGTTCAAATCATGACCCCCGGGGCAAGGGTGGGGCCAAAAATGGCCGACCCAAGTTTTACGTAGGAATATATAGGAAATATCTTTAAAAATCCTTCTCAAGAACCACTGGGCCAGGAAAGATGAAACTCATGTGAAATCATCCTCAGGTAGTGTAGATTCAAGTTTGTTCCAATCATGACCCCCGGGGCAAGGGTGGGGCCAAAATGGCCGACCCAAGTTTTACATAGGGATATATAGGGAAATCTTTTAAAATCTTCTTTTCAAGTACTTCAACGCTATGATTAGTGATATTTATATGGAATCATCCTCAGGTAGTGTAGATTCTAGTTTGTTCAAATGATGAACGCCTGGCGGGGGGGGGGGTTAGTAAATTCAAGCCCGATGTGCTCAGGTGAGCGCTGTGGCCCCTGGGCCTCTTGTTACACAAACAATTTCAAAGAGAAATATTAATTTTGCAAAATATTACAGCAATCTGAAGTTTTTGGTCTTAGTTGTAAGTTCTTTTGTAAAACGGGCCCCAGGTCTTATTTAAGGAATAACTGTCTAATTTTTTGGTTTTTTGATGTGATCAATCAATTGATTGCGTGATAATTTGCAAAATGCATAAAATTTTCACGCAAGCCAATCGATGGATCATCATCATGAAATCAAAAAAATCCTATTTATTTATCATATATTTTTGAATCCTTAGGTTTTAACATTTTATACTAATTTAACATTAAATACAGAAAAAATAGGTAAAAATTTCAACGAAATATCATTTCATTTCTTTTTTTTTTTGTATATGTTCAAGACACCTTCAGACCAAGTACTATTTAGTTATAGGAATATTTTCCTCACATTTGAAATATCTTGACGTACAATATAATAAGAATGAACATGAACAGCAAATACAGAACTTTGAGTATGACATACAAATATTGCTTTTTGGAGGTGGGTTCAATGATTTAGTCTCCTAAGAAGTACAATATTTACTTGGCCCGAAGAATTGGTCCTTGTCATTATCAAGAAATAACAGAAAAATCCGTTGTTAATTTTGACTTACCGGGTACAGTGAAGCTTATTAATATAACAGTAAATGATTCAAAACAAAAATATGCAAACAATATAAATGGGAGAGGGGGGCATAAGGCATCTCCCTGGAAATTTGAGATTTGGAATCAGGTACCATTGAGAAAAAAGTTTCCTTTGTTGATCAATCACATCTGCCCTAAGGTCTATGTATTGATCAGGTAGAGGTTTCTCTAGGTTGACAAAACATTCCTCAGTCAAGTTGAATAAATAATCAAAGGTCTAAAAATTGATTTGCAATATGTCTGAAAAATAATAAGATCCAATAGTATGTTTTACATTTACATTTCATTTGATAATCTAACAACCAAGCTATATGATAAACGTGATGACTTTAACTTTTCTATCATCAACTTCCCTTACGTACATTTGTATGTAGCAATATACCTTCATCACCTGCATACGGAGTGTATATATCTCTTAGTTGATTTGATATGCAAGAGCAGGCTTTACTTATGAAGAATTTTTAAAACGAGGTAAATTATTGACAAGCAAGTTGATTGAACAAGAATATCGACAGTCTCATTTAAAGTCATCATTTTGCAAGTTCTATGGTCGATACAATGACCTTGTCAGCAAATACAATTTATCATTTTGTCAGATGCTGACTGACAATTTTCATACTAATTGTAAGTCCATTAATTATACACTGAATTGACGATGGATTTTTCGCTATTTCCCTGATCATGACAAGGAGCACACGATGTGTATAATCAGTGGACAGTAAATGCATGCTCACTACTCCATGGCACCTGATCCCACCTCTTATGTTTAAGAGGTCTATGTTTGCTCTACTCCTGTTTTGTATCGTTTTATGGACTTTGAAAATTAAAACTGTTCGTTATCTCCATATCCTTCATTTGACAAATCTGATTATAGATATACAGATTCATTTTTCTTGAGTGAAAACTAGAGCCAATTTAAAGAATCATTAATATGTGTAGCAACTAAAAAAAATCTGTAAAAAGTGGAGGGCCAAAAGTATATCTTAATTAAATTCAAACTGTTAAAAAATTCTGCTGACCTCCCCCCCCCCCTTCAAAAAAAATGGGGAGGGAAACATGTATCATTTGACAGTGAGGACAAGACTGAAATTGGTATTTAAATTAAATAAAGTTTACATGCAGCATGTGTATAGAAGTAATATCTAAAAAAAATATAAATTCATTTCTGTAGAACTGCAAAGCCTTATCATTCTAAGAGGTTTACGTGGGGTCAGATTGTCAAGGGAATAAAGAGGGCTCTCTTAAACATAAAAAGCAAGTCATCTAGAACAGCAAGCAACATATGCATAGTGATACTAAACAAAATTATGTGAAATACAAAAAAAAATTAAACTTACCATGTTTTACACATATTCCTGAAAAACACTTGGAAGAATTGGTATTTTTAAAAAAATGTCAGTTATGTTTTTAAAATTTTTATTTGCAGGTTTTCCCTGCATTGGTGTCATCTAGACTACTCTACCAGCTTTATCATATATCATATTTATCAATAAAGAAGATTTTATTAAAATCAAACATGGAACACACTGAAAATAACTCCACAACTTCTACCTCTGATAGTGATGATCTAATGAATGATCAGGCCTGTGAAATGGTGTATAGAAACGGACAAGTTTTTGTTAATGAAAAGGCTTATGAAATGGCTTACAAAAATGATCACGATCTTGTAGATGAGCAGGCCGGTAAATCTGAGAACACTAATGATTCTCTTGTCAATGATCAGGACTGTGAAATGGTGTACAGAAATGGCCAAGTTTTTGTTAATGAAAAGGCTTATGAAATGGCTTACAAGAATGATCAAACTCCTGTTGATGACCAGGCCTGTGAAACTCAGAGCACAAATCGTGTACTTGTTAATGATCAGACCTGTGGAAAAGAGTCCAAAACTGATGATTCAATGGAGCAGTTTAGCAGTTCTTGTATGGAAGTGATGATGAATCTTGGAATATATAACAATTTAAATGCAGCATCAGGGAGTGGTCCTTCTGAGGAAGGCAAACAAATTCCCTGCACTGCAAACTCTACTGAGAGTCAAACTTCAAAGGAAGAGAGCAAAAGTAAAGCAGGTACAAGTAATATTGTAAAAGAAAAAGGCCCAAAAGCAAAGCCTTATATATGCTCACTATGTGATAAAGCTTTTAGCGTATTGCAGACTTTAAAGAAACACTTGAGGGTTCATACTGGTGAAAAACAGCCCTATCTGTACAAGTGTCATATCTGTTCCAAGGAGTATGTTAAAAACTCCACCCTGCGGATCCACTTTCAGAGGCATCACCCTGATTCTGATGATAAACCTTTCAAATGTCCCGTCTGCGGAGAGTCATTCTCCCTTCTGGCCGAGCAAAACGAACATTTAAAAGAACACAAAGATTACAAACCAGTCACGTGTAACATATGTGGAAAAGGATTCACTCGAAAAATGGGGCTTCATCTGCACATGCTAAATCACTCCGAAACCAGACCTTATGGCTGTGAAACTTGTGGCAAGACCTTCACATTCGAAATGCATCTTCAACAGCATCAGAAATCCAACAACTGCTTGAAGTTTTTTACCTGTGAAATTTGTGGGAAAGTTCTTGCTTCAAAACAGACTTTAGTTTTGCATAAGATGATTCACACTGATGAGAAGAATGTGGAGTGTGAGGTGTGCATGAAGAAATTCAGGTCAAAGGGTTTACTTAAAAGACACAGTCGTATTCACACAGGCGAACAGCCTTACCAATGCGAGATTTGTGGAATGAGGTTCACACGCAAGCCCCCTTTGGTAGAGCATATGTCAACACATACTGGCATTAAACGCCATCTTTGTGAAATTTGCGGGAAGGAGTTCAATTGTAGTACCTACTTTAAGGCACACAAGCGGATTCATAGTGGAGAAAAGCCTTATGAATGTGAAACATGCGGGCAAAAATTTACACAATGTTCGCATTTGAGAAGACATGAAAAGATTCACATCAGGAATGCCTGGACTGCAGGAAGGTTTACCATTGGCTCTATACTTTAAAATAGACATGTCAAAAAGACCTATTTGTCTTTTGATCATTTTAGATAAGGGTGGAGATTTTTTCAAAATCACATATATATGTTATTTCTAACCATTCACTACTGTGTAATTTTTAGATTTTTTCCACAACTTTTATGATGTTTGTATTTTTATTATGATATTCTTTAGATAAAGACTTTGAATGAAAATCATATTTTTCATTTAAAAAAAAAATATTTATTTTTCACTTTCGTTAAGATAACGATTGTTAAATCATAAAAAATAGCGACATTCTTCATATTTTTATGAAACTAAACCTCTATAGTCATCTGAATAAAACAAAATGTCTATACACCTGTAGTAAAGTTTCATCCAATGTTTATCATGTTTATCAGCTTCATATCTTCATTCATTGTAAACATAAACCTAAAACATATTGTATATTGTGTTTGAAACTGTTTTTCTTAAGATTTTATGCTTATTTACAGGCAATACTTGAGCATTTTTCTGTCATTCTTGAACCATCTTGTAGCATGTATTTGAGAGAGTTTTTAGAGTCCTTTTTGTATACATGGTATGGCACTTTACACTTTCTTTTATCAAAACTTGTTTGGCAGATGTTTGCAGAGAAAGAATGATTGGGTGTTCATGTGAAATTGTGTTTAAAACTATAATATAAATATCTAGACTTAGTCCATAATGATGTGACATTGTGTATAACACTATAATATTAATACGTAGATGTAGGTTCATAATTATTATTTGAAATTATGTACATTTATTAGAATAAACTTAAAAAAATAATGTACTTTTTTATTTCATGCGTGAAATGAGTGTAATTGATTCTGTGGTATTGTGTATAGATAGGGGTCTTGGAAAAGCATTTGCTTGACCCAGCAATGTATCTTTGTTTATAAGGATTTTTATGACGTTTAGAGTTCAAGTACAGGTATTGTGAAACATATGGAGATAAGGAATAGCATTCGAGATCAAAAGTCAATAAAAACAGTACAAAATAGGAGCAGAGCAAACATATACCTCCAAAACATCAGAGGTTTGATCAGATGCCATGAGAGGAGTGAGCATCCACTGCCGACTGGTCACTTCATTCGTTTCATGATCGGGAAATAACGGAAAAATTCGTCGTCAATTCAGTGTATAAATAATAGACTAACAATTGGTATGAAAAACGTCAGTCAGCATTTGACTCGATGATAAATTGTATCGACCATAGAACTTACGAAATGATGACTTTGAACGAGACTGCTGATATTCTTGATTCATCAACTTGTTTGCCAATAATTTACCTCGTTTTAGAAATTGTTCCTACGTAGAGCATCTCTTGCGTAGCGAACCAGGATATATGGTATCGACATCAGATTGGAAATTACTAGGGATGTCAAAATTGTCAATAATTGATATTCGAATATTCGATAGGAGTATTCGAATATATTCGAATATTCGATAAAATAAATACATCTTGCATTACAAGATACATATGTTCACTCTCCTGTCAAGCAGTATAGGATTAATGCAATTATTTTGTAATAAAACTCATGTACAGTTTGGTAAATGCACTGCAATTATATTTTTAAAAAAAATATTGAATAGTATACATCCAAAATGTAATGATTTTTTTTGAAAATTCAAAAGATTCTTTAGTATGTTCCAGATGAATTGATCGTCTTACTAAAGTCTACACTGATAACTCCTACAAATTTATACCAAGCAGAACAATTATCTAACTTTTTGCTAATTATAATGTACTGACAATGAATTTTAATGATATTTACATAAACAAGGGGTCCGTGTGTTTACTGTAAAACTATGTCCTTACAACAATACAAGCTGATTGTAAGTACTGGAAACTATAATTATACCAATTATTAAGTGAAAATATAAATAAATTACTCAAATAGATACACTCTTCACACCTTTAAGGTAATCCAAGAGGAGGGTTTTTTTTTTTAATTTTGTACAAACTTATCAATTTCTAATAAAACTTGCCAGGTTTTTCTCTCTTTTTAATGCTTGTAAACTTAAAAACGAATATTCGAATCATAAATTTATATTCGAATATCAACTCATCGAATGAATATTCGATTATTCGAATATTCGTTGACATCCCTAGAAATTACCATTATTAATTGACAATACGTCGTCGATATATTCAAATGTCGAGTTGAAGGTAACAGCAAGGGTTCTCTTCTTTTCACTCAAGAGGTTTTGTACAAACTAAGCTTCATTTGAATTTAAAAATAGGTCTGCTAATAGCGGGCGTAATTGGTACACATGGGAATTCCAATAGATTGTTAGTGGACCTTGTCTCCAAAAACAATATATTGTCAATCAGAAATTTTTTTTTATCTTTTTGATGTCAGCTTCAGAGTATAACGTACTTGTGTATACACTCAGAATGTTTTTTTTTTCAAAAATAATTTTGCAAATGACCAGGGTAGATCGAACTTTCCTTCAAGTAGGTTAACTAGCCTATTGAAAGTATTATACACTAAAATATAAGTATGAAGAATTTCCGTTGGAATGTGAGCTGTAAGCATTGGTTTGATTTCCAGAGGTAGAAATAAAACCCAATGCTTGGAAAAAAGTAAACTTGAATCATCAGGTCTTTAATTTCAACTAAATCAACTTACCAGTAATGACGCATCCAACGGGACAGTAGTAGAATGACGAAGAAAAACAAGATCATGACAGAGAATTTTTTTTGAGAATTCAAAAATTAAAGGAGACTTACCTGTAAGGTGAACTTTAATTAAAATTCTCCGAAACACCAAGGAACGTTGGGTATTACGTGAGATATGCAAGCCTACTCCCAGATCAGTATTTAACTCAATATGTGAATATTCTTGATAATAAGCAATTTTACAGATGCTACATTTTATCTATTAATATAAATTTATCACCCTAGTTCCCATGGAAGGGAGATCAAGGGTGGGCACGTAATACCCAACGTTCCTTGGTGTTTCGGAGAATTTTAATTAAAGTTCACCTTACAGGTAAGTCTCCTTTAATTTTTTAATTCTCCTTCACCACCAAGTCACGTGGGTATCACGTGAGA